GGCCTAAATATCGATTATATATGACGTCACTAACTTAGCATACACCACGTCACACCAATATATCATACATACAGAGTGGTAAAGGATTCTTTCGTGAAATATCGTTTGGCCGCTTTTATATATTTTGAACGTGACATGGCGATTTTCAAAAAATATTTTATAAGAGCAATATAACTGAAACGACTGCTTTCTCTGAATTGTGATATAAACACTCTGGGAGCTGTAAAAAACTACGAGGCTATACTAAGCTTGCTTCTCTCTCGCTTCTCTCTCGCGAGTTTCATATTCCTCAAATAAATACACCGCTAAGCACGAAAAAAACTGAGTAATAAACAGAATATACATGCCGAAGAATGTGACTAACTAAAAATAGGTTGTTAATTTTTTTATATAAATTGATCTTGACATATGTAGAGAGATAAGATGTGTTTTCTAAAGGTTGATTAAGTAGTTCTTTCACTGATTGACTGAGAATGACCATGTTAAACACCTGCTGAACACGGGAATATCTTGCTGACTACCTTCTAGGGTGACGAGAACAGCTGGCTGACAACAGAAAATAAAGATTTTGATATAGTGATTTCATTTGCAAAACAATGATAATTAATAGTGACATGATTATATGAAAAATATATATAGTATGTTATCATTAGGACAATTGGAATTATATATAAATATGCAAAAAACATTCAAAGAGAATTATATAATTACATAGGATAATATAGGAATGTCATTTTCATCAGTGTTCTATAGATAATAAAATATATAGCTGCCAATTATATGAATATTGATCATTTTAGTACTCGAATCATTCTCCATCTTGATAATATGTTGTTTTTGTAATCATTATTTGAGCACAGTGTAAATGATCGAGTTGCTCACCTCGCTTGGTGTGACTATGAGAACCAACCAGCCCGAATCATATCTCTCATTATCAGCTTATTGCTACATTCAATGCTTCATTCGTAACCTTCTTTTGTTTGGTTTTCCAGATATATAGAGGTCACTGGAACACACGCAATCATCATCATCCATCAGTGAGGTTCACTTATCACAAGCACTAGCTCTACAGATACACTTGTCAAGGTAAGACCAGTCAGTGTCAGTTTTCTGTTTAGTAAAACTCATTTTAGTGTAAGGCCAAAATGATAAAGGAACCAAGTACGCTTTCTAGTTTTGACTCCAATCTTTTCGTATCCACGTTAAGTTAATGTTGAACCAAAATGTTTTTCAATTAGTTGTTTAAATGTTTTTGAATGTTTTCCAATCTTAGAACTGAACCAATCATGAAGAAGATCCTCATTATTGGAATGGCTGTCCTACTTGTAGCTGCTCTGTTCATTGATAACAGGTTGGTTGTAACTGTTTATATTTAACTTGTAGCCGAAATTTAACTTGTTTTAAGGAGTAGAACTGGCTCTTAAGCAATGATAACCGCTATGTTTCAAAAAAGACATATTAAGTGAAACGTACGTTTCTTTTGTTTTCTATTAACTAGTACTAACTAATTAGTCATTTATTCTTTCACGGGTTATATCAAATTAATACTCTACCACAGTGTGGAATCAATCTAGTAGTATACATTAATAGAGTATATATCTATCACAACAGCGAAGGATGGCGACGAAGACGACGAAGGAATGGAAAGAGAGACGAAATCAATGGCGAAAATGACAGCGCATTCCAGGAATTAGAACAACAACAAGCACATGCAGAAGAGCAACAGGACGGAAACGACATAGACGATCTAGAAGGCCCGATTCTTGACAAACTGAGGCAACTTAGAGCTCTAGCAGATCGAGAAAGAAACCCAAATAATATACTGTAATCCAGCACAGGATAAGAAAAAAATGCTGTTAACTTGAAATAAGCGTGCAATGACTTATAGAATAAACAAATAATAAAGATTGATATTTGCAGCCAGACGAGCAGTTTGTCTTGATCTTGATTGATTATGAGCGAAAAAATATATATTTCAAAAAATCATGTCTTTCACTTATCAGCAAAGCTTTGCGAATGATGTACTGACGCGCGCGGAATCACAGTATTAGGGCATTATGTTTTTCAATATGGCGGACACGGGAAAACATTGGCAATCTCTTAAAATTCAGACTAAAACCAATTTAAATATATGTTACTCGATTCAAAAACTAAAACTCGAATACAACAAAAAACACCATGAAATGGCATCGCGCTTCTTCACCTGGTTCGACTTTGTGCCCCTACTTCGAAGACACCAATACAAAATAATGTTTTTTCCCTTTGATTCTAAGGGGTGCACCCCTCCCTGGGTGAACTTTGTGCGCAGCACCCCTCCTTGAACAAAATTCTGGATCTGCCCCAGCGTAATTGTTCAAAAATTGCGGTACACCCTAAAAAAGGGTATTGATGGGGTTTATATAACAGTCAACTGCAATTGGTCTAAAAATAAAAGTTAACGGGGGAAAATAACCTTAAAAATAACCTTATTTCATTATTTTGGTTGAAGTATTATGGTAAACGGATGTAAAAATATTGAGAGAGAACCCTTTTCGTATTCAAGCAGTGAGCGCCAAAAACTATTTTCTTGAAGAAAGGCTATTGTACAAGGCTAAAATCTTGTTATTCAGAAAGTACAACTTGTTTGGAAGTGGAGATGACCGATAAAAGTGGAATAAAAGTGTTAACCCAAAGCAAAAATTTATTATTTTGAAAATGAGGTTTAGGCCTTCATTTGCTTACTTAAGACCTTTAAACAGTTAGAAACTGATGTACTATGATAAGATGCCTGTTTGAAGCGGTATTTTCAATTGTACAAAGATGTTTTGTTGCATTTGTGTTAGAATGCTGCTTTGTCAGGCTTTTTTTATAGAAAATATATAGGAAATAAGAAAATGAAGGCCTAAACCTCATTTTCGAATAAAATTTTGTTTCAAACCAATATTGTAATATTTCTTGTTTTTTGTTTGTTTGTTTGTTTGTTTGTTGTTGTTTTTTTTTTTTTTTTTTACAGCTTTATTGGGAAACTAATAATACAATGTGTTGAACAGAAAAAAACTAATAGTTACCCAGAAAGGAAAGTCACGAACGGGACACGAGACCTCATGAAATGATTAGTGAAATATATGCAAAAAATATAACATTGTACGTAAAAATAAAACATGAATAACAATGTATATATCATTTAATAATTTATATTGTACATCTATTTATGTATTATTTGGAGGGCCGTAAGTTAGTAATTGAGTTTCCCTCTTGAAATAAAATTATCGTATTCCGTTATCGTATTGTATTACGGGACCCGTCGTGATCTACTTACACTGGGGTTCCTGTGTCAGAATCCGACACTTGGAAACGAGGTTCAAAATGGCTGCCAGAAAATTGTTTTGCTTCAAAAGAACGCTATTATTATTTTAAGATTTTCATTTTCGATTATTTTTTCTTGAATATACAACATGTTCCGACCTCTTTAGCTTTATTTTATCTGTATATCGTCTTCAATTCTTAAGGTAAGTTTTCGATGGATCGAAAATCAAAAGTATATTTGACAGAGATAAGAGCCTGAAGCTTGAATATTTTTCTGTGATTTCTGTTACTCAATATTAAAATATGGAATTTTATAGCATGTTTTCCATGTATTTATGATCTTTTTTACTTCTACTGTTGCTTAACCATCGATTATACACTTTATTATGCTAAGAAAACGTTAGTAAATCTTACTGAATCCAAGAGTTTGGACTTTAACTTTGACTTAATCAAGCTCCCATATCACAATGCAAATCTCGTAAAAAATACAGACTTGATTTTAGATTTTTTAACTTAAGATAAAATAAATAATAAGCTTTAGTTTATATCTCCCGAATCGATTTTCTGCCTCCATCGTTTTATAATTTTTGTACTTGTTTCAAAGACTGGGAAAATTTCAAAAAATCGAAGTTTGCCATATCATAGAATGTACTTGTTCAAATTGACATTTGTTTCTTTTTTAATATATAAGCTAATATGTATATTTTTGTGTGTGTGCTCTTGGTGATAGGCAAAAATGGAACAAGAGAAAATTTATGGTATTCTACAGGTAAAGATATACATATAAAACAATATAATATACTGTATATATATTTATAATTATATATTTCTGTACCGGAATTTCATGCTTTCTCTGAGTTAAAGGACGGTATAAATTATCAAAATGTATTTTGGCATGATTCCTTAAATTTGATTTTGTTGTTGTTGTTGATTTATATTTCTATCTTTGTGTTATGTGCCAAGTGATAGGTTAATCAGAATGTGTTTTTATCTTCAATGAAGATTATTATTTATAATCATTTATTGATTAATCAGCAGTGAGAGACATTGGTTACATGCAGTGCTACAGTAGTCTTACTGCTGTTTAGTTCATACCTTCTCTGGTTCAAATTCCAGTTGACCCATAAGTTTTTTCTGTAGAGACCACTACCAATCAAATAATTTATTTGATTGGGACTGGTAGGGGGAGGGGGGGGGGTACTCCCATATATGGACTATACGGGGATGATCCGCTGAACAGGGTATGGTTTTTCGAGCTTCTTGTCATAAACAGGGTATGCAATTTCACTCAAGTTCCAAGTTCTCCCTGAGTTTCCTGTCATATTCAGGGATTCTATTTCGTATTAAACGAAACTGGTTATTATTGTCATAAAAAACGATACGCGAGATGACATGATAATTGAAACAGGAACTCAGTGCAATAAATTATATCTTTTGTTATAAACAGGGTCCACAAATTTGAGTTTTTTATCATAAACAGGGTACCCCTTTCAGAATCCCAGCAGAACACCCCTATCCAAATTCTGGCGGAGTACCCCCCCTGGGGGATTGGTCCACACAAAACAACAACAACATATAATTGCAACATACCTTTATGTAATCTAAGAACCTATTTGATTGACAGGAGCATACTCCTGGTCTGGATGAACATGTAGAAATGAAAATAGTGGCAGGCAAAATCAATTAATAGACCCATTATGAATTCCAAATTACCGCTGTGTTTCGTGATTACAGACTCATTTGCACAGGGTTAGCCTCAAGTTTGTGCAGAATATTCACGTGTTCCAGTCAAGGTCCGTCAAGTTTCAAAATGTTTGTTTTGTTGAAGTTGTGCATTCTTTACTTCTCTGTTGGTATTTGTAAATATTTAAACACTGATACGAGGCTAACCCTGTGCAAATGAGTCTGTAATCAAGGAACACAGCGGTAATTTGGAATTCGAAACTGGTCTATTAATGGAATTAAAATTCATTTTAGTTCCATTATAATTATTGATTTATTGAGCAAGCTATGTATTGATTTGTTTTTCTTAAATACTTTTGCCATTTGTAATTTAATTGCAGGACTGCAATAACCAGAACCCACAAGACATTGTCAAAAAAATGAAGAATGAAGAGGGTTTGATAAAAAGTATTATTGAAAATTTGTCATGTCATTATAAAAAACAGGTAAAACCTTTACTAAGCCCTGATTTTCACTTGGAAAAGCCGTGTTATTATAAAATTATTATTAATTAGTAAATATAAATTGAGTAGATAACGACTAGTTTTGGAACTAGCTCAGACTGTGTTGGTGTTTTTTAGTTGAAACAAATGTGTCGTAGTAGATAATTTTATCACCATAGGTATGAAAGATAGTAGACTGACGTTTCGGACGTTAGTCCTTCGTCGGGGTCAATCAATCAATCTGATGAAGGACTAACGTCCGAAACTGAATGGAACTGTAAAATGGACTATTGAAATTTACAGTGATGTGCATTAGGTTTTATGGAGGTAGAAAATAAATCAGAGAATGTGGAAAATAACCCTTCAGTCAAGGGAGAGACCTAACAAACTCTGCTCACATAGTGAGGTCAGCCATGTTTAAATGAGGAAATAAAATCTAGATGTAATACAGTCACATTTTGTTCAGGTCAGTCATCCTCTGTACAGTACACTCTTCCAATTGTATCGCAGTAATGAGAGGGAAGCGAGATGCTTTGTGTTGCAGTTTGTCCCTCCCCTTATATGGATATATTTGTCAGCCATGACTCGACGAGATAAACAGGTATTTATTCATACACTTTTGTCATATGCAATAGTTTCATTGAGTGTCAAAGACAATGTTAATATAAAGACTAATATTTCTTTTAGGGTTATGGTAAACTGGAAGCTATTTTCCTGGCTATTTTCAATACTGTAAGTATAAAGAACTTATACCTCTTTGTCATCGCCATCATTGCCATTATTATCATTGTTGTTGTTATCGTTTGTCATCATCATCATTTTTATTATTATTATATAATCATTTACAATATCCCGATATATCTCACCAATAGCATTATCATCATCATCACCATCACCATCAACTTCATCATCATCGTCATTAACTTCATCATCATCATCATCACCACCATCACTATCATTATCATCTTCTCAAACTCATTAATAATTCATGAGGTCAATGACCAATAGCTCTTTGCATTTTAGTCATGTGCACGCACCTTGATACTTGATCAAAAGTGGATCACAACACTGATCAAAACACTGATCACTTTATTAGTCTCAGGAGATTCAAGAACAAATGAATTATAATAAGACTTTTTAAAAAGTCAGTTAAAAAATGAGTGCTTTGTGTTTGATCAGGGCATCCAAACACCTATGGCCTAACAGCCTCATGTTTCATCATGTTTCTCAGTGTTTGGATGCCCTGATCAAACACGAAGCACTCGTTTTTGATCTATTACATCAAACACTAGCAGCATCATCACTATACTTTTTTGCTAATTATTTTGTATACAATTATCATCAATTATTGATTCAAGGAACAATAGAATGACGTAATTATATTTTACTAAAACGAAGGACTAGCGTCCGAAATGTCACAAGTTTTTAGCTAGTTATCTCTTCTGACGTAATTATATATATTTTGATATTAAGAATAAAAAGACATCTTAACTTTACTAATAGAATTAATACTAACATAATAGGAAGCTGAAAAAAATGCCGGACAACCCAACTCCAAGACATTCCGCTTGCCTTCGTTATCAAGGTCATCTATCTATCATGAGGTACTTGAGGTCTTTAAGTTAATGTAATGTGCTTAAGGATAAAAGTATTAATAATTATTATTACTCATTAGATTATTAACAATTTTCTTGGCCCAAAATCACCCCGGGGAGGGGGGAACTCTCATATATATTATATAAAGGGCACGATGCCACAGTACAAATATATATTTCATATATATTCTCATACACAGACTATGATTTCGTACCTCTTAGGGTGCCACAAGTCTAAAAGGACTAACAGAGTAAGCCGGTACCTCTTAGGGTGTTTGACAGGAAATAGATTAGATAATGACAGCCGGTATGACAGTTGAAATTCAGGATATTTATTCATTATCTGATTTCTGTCATTTAGAATTTGGACCATGGTTAAATGCGCTTATCTTATTGTTTTAGAGTGTATACTTTTTAGAGCAAACTCACAGGTCGAACCCTGAAATAATCTCTGGGCTGACAGAGTAAGGGCGTGGCTAACTCACAGATCGAATTGCAATTTGCATGTAATGTTTTGCAGAGAGAGGAAAACCGGAGAACCCGGAGAAACCCTCTAAGCACAGGAGAGAATCAACTAAAAACTCTGCCCACATACAATGCCGAGTCCATTAATCCAACCTGGTTCTCAGTAAGAAGCTGGAGCGCTCTCGCCGCTATGCCAACAGTGCTTATTACCAAGGGCAGATGAAACCAACCAATGTCTGCAACGTAGGATGCCGAGAGAAAATGAACTAAGAAAAGGAATCCTCGCAACCCGTCATGATGCTATTTTTAGAATATTTGATGCTATTTTTAGAATCATTCATTTTATCGTTTGTTTTTCTGCATGCACTTGACGTACTGCGTGCGCTTAACTTTTTTTGCTCGTTTTTTTTGGCGTTTTTTCAAAAAATGTGAGCAAACAGCTCGCGCATTATGCACACGTGTGCAGAAAAACAAACGAAGGAAAATTGATTCTAAAAATAGCATCAAACAGTGCCTATGATAGTTACAAGCATGATTTCCAGGCCGGGTTGTACGAAGCCGGGATAGCGTTATACGACGGATAAATCTTATCCAGTGGATAAGTTTATTTGAAAACAGCATCGACTTATCCACTGGATAAGGATTTATCCGCCGGATCTGAGTGCTATCCAGTCTTCGTACAACCGGGCCCAGAGATTCCTTCTCTTAGTTTATTTTCTCTTGAGGATGCCTTGTGTAATAGTATTGTTATATTATATTTATAGTCATCACTAGATGTTACATCCCAGTCAGCTTTGACTGAGAGTGCACTAAGCCGTCATGAGTTGAACGAGACCAACATACCAGGGCCAAAGAAACAGCTAAATAGAATAACAGCCTCAAACAGGTATGAACGGTAGATATCTATGGTATTGTAATGTTCATACATACACTGTCACTCTTAAACACGTACAAGGACTAAAGAAACAGTTGAATAGACGAAACAAAGTGTACGGTGGAGTTTGGAATTCACTTGGATCTCTTGGTTCCGTTTGATTTGTTTTAGCTGAATTGTCTGAAATTAGCGACTATTCTCAAATATGACAATAAGAACTGTGGCTTCTGAGGCAGGATAGAATAGGAGATAAATATAAGCAAAGCCCCCCGGGAACAGGGTTAGGGTTCAGAGGGCTCAGCGGCACATCCCTACCCTAAACGGGCAAGAGTACCCCCACGGGAGCAAAGCACAAAGTTGTCTGGTATCAGAAGTGTCATGTTCCCCTTCCATTCTGACTCACATAGATTGGTCTTTGATCTTAGGATGTCAGTTCTGCAAGTAGCTGTCAATCAGTACAACAAAAGTATCGCATTCATGGACAAGGCATCTCATAAAAGCTTCTGGTTAATGGCTTACAGGTAGGTAATATAAGCTGACTGAGTTTGTTTTCCCAAATATAAAGCGCGCGCGCATATGTCTCTGTTCTGAGATATAAACACGCTGGGAGATGAGAGCACGTTAGCAAGCAAACTTAGGAACACGAGGCATAAGTGTTCTCTTGCTTTTCGACTGCTCTATATATAACTCCCAGAGTGTTTACATCACAGTACACAGGCATAAGTAGCTGTTTTATATTGTTTTTGGAGGATTTCGCGCGAGCGCGTCTCTGTCCTCTGATATAAACACGGTAGCCAACCAATGAGCGCGCGCATTTTAAATATGTATAATCAAATTAAATTTGTTTGCTAGATACTAGTATTGCTTTCTAAGAACATATTGAACTTCAAAAATATTTTATTTAATTAAAATAATTCCGGTAGAACTTGATGAATGAACTTTATAAATGTATGCAAACCCCGAAACGAACGAACGAACGAACGAACGAACGAACGAACGAACGAACGAACGAACGAACGAACGAACGAACGAACGAACGAACGA